AGCTCAGTGGCTGCTCAGCTCGGGCCGGGACTCGAACCGCTGTTGCTCAGAGCTCAAACTCTTGAGCGAGCTCTTAACCAACTGAGCCACTCGGCCGGCCCCTATAATCTATTTTTTACAGTGTTATGCTTTGAGCATTTTCCCACATTATTACACATTCCTCAATTACAATTGTAATGTGTGAATTAACTCCTATAAAACATCATCCTATTTATTGAATTTTTCAGTTTTAACTTTTCTTTCCTGTGTTATAATCTTGCATAAACATCTCTGTTAAAGATAAATCTCTAGCCGCTTTTCACTACTTTAAATTAGATTCCAATCAAACATCATTTCTCAACGATCATTCAAGAGCTGTTTTCAAGGCTCTTCATAAACATTGCAAAATTCCTTTCCCAAAAGACTTTTTCCATTTTTCTAAAATATAAATCTCTTCATATCCTTTCTGTTTAAAAAGACTGGATCCTCTGGTGCCTATTTAGTGTCCTGCACATTTAATGTCCTATACATTTACATTCAGTCTCCTCTACCACCACACCCCTCTTAGCCATCCCAGTTTATTTCTAGAACACACCATGGGGTCACGTTAGACCTCCATGCCTTTTCTCAAGCAGTACCTTCCGCCTAAAATGTCCCTTAACTCCTTTCTCTCCTAGGCAGAATCCTATTCTCCTTTTTTTTTTTTAAAGATTTTATTCTCCTTTTAAGAGCCAGTTCAATTAATCCCATGTCTCTGGGCAGAGCTGATCTGCCCTCTGCTGGGCTCCCAAGCATATCATGAACTTCAATAATGTTAATTTTCACATTGAAATATTCATCACACCACAGGTTTTTAAAAATGAAAGCAGATCATGTCCTACCCTTATTAAAACCCTTCCATGGAACATAATAGGAAGTTCAGAAATTGACCCAAATACACTTGGGACTGTAGATTATCCTAATGGAGACATTTCAAACGAGTTGGGAAAAGATGGCAATATTGGGATAACTGGGTAGTAGTTATTTGGAAAAAAAATTTGGATTCCTGCCTCACACCTTACACCAAATTGAATTTATGATGGAACAAGCGTTAAAATCTAAAAATATGAAACCATATAAAAACTAGAAGAAAAGAGAATTATTTTTATAATATCAGACTGGAGAAGGTCTTCCTAAGAAAAACATAGAACCTGGAAGCCACAAAGGAAAAGACTGATAAATTAAAATACATGCAAAATAAAAAATTTTCCATGGTAATAAATAATAAACTGGAAAAATATTTACAACTTATATGTAGAAAAAAGGATAAAAATTCCTATAAATCCATGAGAAAAAAAGCTGAAAACACCAATTGAAAAAAGGGCAAATGAAATGAACAGAGAATTCACCATAACAAGACCCCCCCAAAAAAAAGACTCATAAATATGAAGAATTGCTCAACTTCACTCTTACTAAAAAGAAATGACAAATAAAAGTGCCTCTCAGTTTTTATCTCTGATTGACAAGGATAAAAATGTTTGATAACACATTGTGTAGTTCAGGATGTGAGGAAATAGACACTATCATACTTTACTGATGGGAGGACAACCAAACTGGTACAACTGCTATGGAGAGCACTTTGCCAATATCCATTAAAACAAATAAAAAACAATTCCATATATTCATTTACTGGTAATTCCACTTCCAGGAATTAACTTAGCAGATAAACTCCCACATATGTAAAATAACAAATGGCCAAGTTATAGTATTATTTGTAATAGCAGAGGATTGGAAACTACCTAAGTGTTCCAAAATAGGGGATTGGGCAAGTAAATTAAGGCATGTCTTTATAAAGTTGTGTGTTAATTTTAAAAATTGAGGCAGATCCAAAATGTAGAGCTCAGCAAAAAAAGATGTAGAAGCTTTTATAGCAAGCTATTGTTTGTGTAAAACATTTATACATATAAATTTCCTTGTGAATATAGTGACCATCTCTGAAAGACCACAGAGGAAAGGAGTTAAAGAGTGATGACCTCTGTGAGGGGAACTGGGAATTAGAAAGTAGGGTGGGAATAGGACTCCTTTTAATGTTAACTGTAGAATTAACATTCAGTGTTCCTGTATCCTATGTTTTAAATCAATCAAATTAACACAAAATAAAACACGTTTCAATGTTTAGAATCAAGTCCAAATTACTTCCACGGTCAGCTTTCCAACCTCCTTTCACACCACATTTGCCCTTCCTCACTACCTTCCCAGTCACATTGCTTCTCCTTCAGCTTCTGGAACATGCCAAGACCTTCCTGTCTCAGGACGTTTTGCACAAGCTGTTCCCTCTAAGTTGATATTCTCTAGGCTCTTCTGATGGGTTTGAATTTTCTTATACTTCAAGTCTTGGGTTCTATATCATCTCTTCAAAGAGGACATCCCTGGCCACCCAGTCTAAAGTAGCACCTCTCCCTTCACCCTTATGATAATACCCTGAATTTACTTTCTTCATAGCACTAGTCGCTATTTGAAATTACCTCATTTGTATATTTTCTTAGTTATGTACTCTCCATCTTAAGGGTTTAAGTTTCCATGAAAGCAGGGACCATGTCTTGTCTTGTTCCCAACTCTATCTTCAGCAACTCAAACAATAAGCATTTGATGAATGAATTTATGCAGCATATACTACAGACCATACACTGTTGTACGGACTTGACACATAACTCCTTTAATCTTTACAATAACGCAATGAGGGAGCTTGGTATTTACCCGTTTTATTTAAGGAAAGTGAGGCACGGAGCAATTGAGTAACGACCAACTGGCAGAGTTAGAATCCCAAATATAAGGTTCTTAGGCACAACGCGATGCTTTTTCGATATATAAGCGGACGGATGGATGAAACTGACTAAATGAATGAATGGAAATGTGAAGGGGGGGGTGCGCGGGCGCGCCCCCGCCCCCGTGCGCGCCTCCGGATTCCCGAGCTCTACCGCAAGGGGGCGCTCTCTCCCAGGCCTTGCCGCCAGTCCTCAAGGCGCGCACTCCTTTTGCGTCTCGGGCTCGCGCGCGCTGCCGCAGCACCGGAAGTGACTGAGCTTGCAAGTTCCCCCGGTCTCTTCAGGGGAAACTGAGGCCGGCTCGTTCAGAAGAGACAGCGCAAGCAGCCCGCCAGGTGGGCCGGCCTGGATCCGCGGCGCGGAACACAGCCGCGAAGAGCCCTCGCGTCTGGAAGCGACCTGGCCGAGGAAGGGGGGATGTGGCCCCCCACTGCTCGCAGGGCTTGCAGGTGAGAGTGCCGCCTCCTCTGTGCGTGGCAGGCGCTGCGCCCAATGGGAGCCCTCGCCGTCCCGCTTCCGTGCAGACTGGACTCTCTGATTGGCTACGCTGGGCGGGCCGCCGGGGGCGAGACCCCTCCTCCCAGAAAGGTCTAGGGGGCGCCCCTGAGGGAGAGCGGTTGCCTAGCAACGGGGCGGTGGCCCGGCGGGTACCCGGCCCTGAGCGCGGGAGAAGCCGCGAGGCCGCAGCCCACCCACCCCGGGCCTCGGAGAGCGGCAGCCCCCGGCCCCCAAGCCTTCCCGGGGGCACGAGGAAGCTGCCTCGGGCCTGGCCCCAGGAAAACGTGATCTTGGCTGTGGGGGGCCTCGAGCAGGCCTCGACCCTTCTCCCTGACCGGAGAAGAGGCCCGGCGCCTCATTCTCACCCCGTCTTTGTGCAGGGCGCCGGCGGCCATTGTGTCCGTACGGGGAATGGAGGACCCGGCAATCCCCCACCGCCACCGCCGCGTCCAGGGCCTTTGGGGAATTCAAAGAATACCAGCGGCGTTTCTGGGGGGTCCCCGGCCTTCAGCCTCCCGGAAAGACCCGAGGATGGCCTTTCCGAAGTCAGACCGCAGATCCGAGGCAGTTTCCCCCTCCCTGTGTCCCTCATCGAAACCTTGAGCCCCATTGAGAAGTCCCTTCAGGGTTTCGGAAGCCTCAACCTGGGCCGGTACTTAAATAGAAAAAAAAAAAAAAACCCTAAGCCCCACACCAGCCACCTCTGGGAGAATTCTCCTGGCTCCCAGTAGGAGGCGGAGGGAGAGCCAAGGAGCGTGCTACAGCGAGGGGGCTGGGCTCCCAGTGGCAGGAGGCCGCCCTCGTTCTGGGCGATGGAGGAAGAAGCTAGCGAGGCGACGGGTTCGTTAGCTTCGTAATTCCTGTGTCGCCTTCTGGGCTCCCAGCCTGCCGGGTCGCATGATCCTTCCAGCCGGAGCTGGTTTTTTTGCCAGCCGCCGCGAGGCTGGCTGAGTTACCGGCATCCCGGCTGCCACCTCTTCTTCCGACCTATGATACAAAAGATCTTCGGGGACTGCACCTGTCTGCCGTCGCTGAGACGGATTTGAATGTAGGTGGTGCGGGGGTGGGGGTGGGGGGCAGACTTCTGCCCATGGGGGTGACTTTCCGAGGAAGGCATTTCGGAGAAAAGGGGGTGGCTGGGGTAAAAAAGGCCGGTATGATGATTCAGAGCCCGCTGATTATTTTAATTCGACTTCATTGAACTCTGGGAAGCTAGACCCAGACCTTGAAAGAAACCAGTTCTTGTACCTGGAGGTACATTGGGATGTTGTAGATTAAATGGTATGCATATTAATTTTCTTCTTTCCTGAAGCTCTTTTTTTTTTTTTTTCCTCTTTAGAACATTATCTAGGTTTTGGATCTCAGAAGACAACCACTAAGCAGAGACCAGACTCAGTGAGTGAGCAGGTGTTTTGGACAATGGACTGGTCGAGCCCATCTCTATTATAAAAATGTCTCAGAGCAACCGGGAGCTGGTAGTTGACTTTCTCACCTACAAGCTTTCCCAGAAAGGATACAGCTGGAGTCAGTTTAGTGATGTGGAAGAGAACAGAACTGAGGCCCCAGAAGGGACTGAATCAGAGATGGAGACCCCCAGTGCCATCAATGGCAACCCATCCTGGCACCTGGTGGACAGCCCTGCGGTGAATGGAGCCACTGGCCACAGCAGCAGTTTGGATGCCCGGGAGGTGATCCCCATGGCTGCGGTGAAGCAAGCACTGAGGGAGGCAGGGGATGAGTTTGAACTGAGGTACCGGCGGGCATTCAACGACCTGACATCCCAGCTCCACATCACCCCAGGGACAGCATATCAGAGCTTTGAGCAGGTAGTGAATGAACTCTTCCGGGATGGGGTGAACTGGGGTCGCATTGTGGCCTTTTTCTCCTTCGGTGGGGCGCTGTGCGTGGAATGCGTAGACAAGGAGATGCAGGTATTGGTGAGTCGGATTGCAACTTGGATGGCCACTTACCTGAATGACCACCTAGAGCCTTGGATCCAGGAGAACGGCGGCTGGGTAAGGACCCACGTCCCTTGTGTGTCCCCTTTCGTTGGCCTCTGGTCAAAGAGATCCCCAACAGCCTTTCCTCGTATCTCTTTCTGTTGTGCTGGGTGATTATTGGACATGTTGTTTAAGAAGACTTAAATTGGTCTCATTGCACCATAAGAGGTTAATTGTTCTGAAATACAGATGACCTAGTTTGTGAAGGACCAGACATCTTTCATTCTGGTCACCCTCATGACCCCACTCTTTCATACTTGTGTTCCAGTTTCTCAGCAGAGGAAAACATAACCTGTGTGTTCGTTTGTCCCAGAACCTTTGAGAGTGGGAAGTTAGCCCAGTGTTCCCCTCAACCTGACAATGGCTCACCACACAAAAGGGTGATGAGTATAATGCCTGAAGAGAACATCAGTGACCCACAGCCCCTCCATTCTTATTCCCCTAGGGATGCCAATCCTTTCCTGGGCTTCTCTCCCCCACGTCAAGTTCTCTTTATTTCAGAGTTTGCATATCCGATACTCCTCTCAGAAAAGGGCATGGTCAGGCAGGAGTTCCCACTGGCTTGGATGGCTGAGGATTGTCTCATTTGAGGGCAGTGACCAGTTGTGTTTGTGCCGCACCTGTGTTCATTTGCTCTGAAGTGTGCAACTTTCCGCGTGGTCGGCCTGTTTGCAGAGCTCTTGCTGTGTCACGCACTAAGTCCCGGACTTTGTACCTCGCTGCCTGGGGTCCCTTGGTGAGCTCCAGCCGTTCTGCCTGTTGCTTTCCTGCCGGGGCTCGGGGGCTTCTTCACGGAGCACTGTTTGCTGGCAAAGGAAGAAGCCAGTCTGTGGCACTCTATGGGACATTGAGATTGAGTGACTGACTTGGGAATCAAACTGACATGGGTGTGAGTCCTAGCACTGTGGCTTAACTAGCTGTGTGACCTTGGACAGACCAGTTTACCTTGAGCCTCAGTTCCTTCCACTGAAAAAATGTGACAAGCCCTTCTTGTCCTGCAGGGTATTCGAGCTCGTGTGAGCACAGTGACTGATACCAACAAGTTTGCTGTAGTAGTTGTTATTAGTCCTAGACACTCTTTCTAGGTCCAGGAGTCATGCTTCATTGCTTCCCAGAGAGGGAGAATTCTCTTGCCCGTCAACAAGTCAAGATGAGATGGTGGTGAGAGAGTCTTTACCGGTGGTCATTGTAGGCAATTGTTGCTCTCCTACAGCAAACTCAGTCCTATTTCCTTGCTATCTCCCTGCCTAGGGAAGGTACAGGGCTTGGGAGAGAGATTCTGTCCCCTCACAATACCCCCCAAATTGAGCAGGCTGTGGGAAATAAGTCATCTATTGAAGAAGCTGAAGTGGAAGGGGCCATGCACCGTGGACTCAGGAATGTCAAGAATGCAATTATCCATAGGCTGGGCCTAGGGCGTGGCAGGCACTTCAGTTCTCTGAGCAGAGAACTGAGTTTGCCCTGGAACCCCACCCCCTGTTTTATTTCCCATTTCTTTGCAACTTCATTAACTCTTCCCACAGCCCATTCTTGTAAAAGGCAAAGGGGTCACATCATTAGAGGTCAGTTGACTGGGGTGGGCTTGGGGGAGCTAAAGGTGGAGGGCTTTCCTGAGCTAACACTGATCAGACTTAAAAGCCATTCTGTAAATGAACTCCCTGGGGGGATAAATGATTAAATAGTTCCTGTTGGTTTGTGTGATGACCTCTCATTCACTCATGCTTTGATTTTCTTTGGGGGCAAATATTTGTTCAGCTGATTACAGGAGGGACAGGATTCCAGTGCTTCAGACACACCCTCTGAGGCATCTCCAAGTAGACTTGGGCCATTTGCCTACTTTGCCTGACTATTGTCTTTGGCCAGACTAATACCAGGTGGGTTGCCAGCTATTAACAAAAGGCAATCTGGGAGAGGTGCCTGGGCTGCCTGGCACCAGAGAGTTGCCAGTCACCCAGTGTTGCACGTGGAAAGAAGTTTTAGACACAGCAGCACTGGGCAAGTTCATTAGACAGCCGCTGGATTGAAATTCCATTTTCTCTTTTTTGCTCAAGAATTACCAGAGCCGGTTGGACAACATGCCATATGTAACTTCCTCTTGGTGAATGGAGGGGATGTGTGCTGAAGAGCTAGTTCTGTCAGAACCGTTTCTAGGCCGGGAGGTAAAGAACATTTGACTCAGGATCCTTTGGGTAGAAGGGACCTGCCCACTTCTCTCTCAGGCACCACCCTGTTTGAGCTGACAGACTGGCGACTGCAGCGCCATCTCATTACCTTCCTGGAAGCTGCGGCTGGGGGATCCATAAGTGTGGGAGTTAGGGGTCATCCCACCCTTGGGTATACTCTAAATTTAGCATCCCTACAGGAAAGGGAAAGGAAAAGAGCCTGTATGGACTACATCTTGTGTTTGAGGCATTGTGTTAGGTCTTTTACTTATGCAACTAAAATTTACTGAGCATTTACTGTGAGCCATGCACTGTGTTAGATGCTGGCCATAAGCCAGACATGATACCTCCCCTTCATAGACATGACATGCTATTTTATGTATTCCACACAATAACCTTTCCAAGGTCGGTAGGCTTATTCTCAGTTTACCTGTGAAGCTCCTCTTACCTAAGTGACTGGCCCCAGGTGTCCCTCAGCCAGTTAAGTGACTGAATAAGAATTTATACATAGGTCGGCCTGACTCCAAAGTCAAATTCTTTCCATCCATATCAGGTTGTCCTAGGAGTAATAAAGTGATCCCAGCATGCTAGCACAGAAAGCCAGAGATGCTGTTGGGCCAAGGAAAACATACCTGTGGAGGTGCTCAAACTGGTCTGTGATCCTGGTATTGTTAGGTAGCTGCAGGACACACCATGCCTTTGTTGGCAGTAGCAGGTTCCCAAAGGCATGTGTGTAGCCTCAGATTCTGACACTGGTAAAGCTCAAGTGGGTGTCGGGTTTGCCCAGTCAGAGTGGGCTTCTTGTTAATTTTTGCATCGTTAAAACCCTCTCAGACCCTACCAATAGCTAAGAGTCATGTGCATATAGGGAGAAGGTGGTCTGCTCCAGGTATGTCTATAAAGACTGGAATTCCAGACTTAGAGCCACACCACCGCCTGCCTGGAGTCAGCTCTGGAGTCAGCTGGCAAGATGCTGAACCTGTTTGTCTCATGTTCATCCATCTCCCCCACCTGTAAAATGGAATAATGATAGCCACCTGCCGTAGCTTGACTCTAGTAAAGGATCTAGAACAAAGGGCATCCCTGGGCCTTAATTGTAGGGTAGAAGCACCCCTTTTCATGAATAGCTAGCTGCCTGCCTCTGAAGACTGAACTTTGCCCCCCGAGTTTCTGAAGAAACAAAGCCAGCCCCTGAGATACCCAGAATGGTGTTGTGTTGTCGGAAAAGTCATGACGCATTTTTGCAATGAAAAACAGAAAAATAACGTCATGACTTTTCCGACAACCCAATATATAATGTGACCTTCCCTGAAGGGTCAAGTGTTCCTGGGGCTTTCCAATGGGAATGTGGACAGTTATGGAGTGAGGACCCTGGTGGGCCAGGCCATTTTCGGATCGCTGCCCCTGGGAAACCTCGTAGCTAGATGGAAACACCATTTTTTAGAGCAGTGAATAGTGTGTGGGGGAGAAAACATAATTTGGCCTTCCCCAGGGTGCATGGCTTACTGGTCTTCTAGTTTCTGTAGATTTCTTCTTGTCTGTTCTGGCTTCTTCAGTATGGATATACGTTTAGCTGAAACACCTCAGCGACCTTTGCAGAGCTCAGCAGCTGTTGGCAATTCTGCGGTTTTCTGAGGAAACCCCATTAGAAACCCCAAATGTGGAAATCTTTAGTAATCTCATTCAGGTCCCAAAGTGATAGAAGTAGAAATGTATTAGGGGCTCCCCCTCCAAGCACCCAGTTCTTCTGGATGTACATTGAGGTTGTTATCACCATCACAGGGTTTTCCAGACTTCCTAAGACTAATTTCCCCAGTAGCCCTATAGAGCCCTTCAACTTCTGATAGGAAATTACCCAGGTATTTTTTCGGGGCCCCCAACGGAACCCAGAGGGTTTTCTTGACTTTTGTGTGGGAAGTTAACAGATTTGTTTGGGCTGCAGGAAGCAGCAGTTGTTAGCTGTCTCTTCCCCAGCAGGTTATCTGTCCTAAGGCCAGTGGGCTTGAGTGTCCTCCTCTGTGCCCGGCCTCCCTGGTTTTTCCAGCACCCTCAGCCTTTTATCATGGGGCTTTCTTTCAGCAACCTTGGTTTTGTTTGGGTTTAGCATGGATAGGTTTAGGGGTAATTTCCAGTGAGCTGCTGTTCTACAGAAACATAATCTACTACCTTAATTAGCAGGACCCTGTCCCCACCCCAACCTCCAACCTAATTCCACGGAGTCCTCCCTAAGGACTCGTCTCTTTTCTTTGAAGGAGTCACTCTGCTCCTGGATCCACTTCTCTTCTGTTCCTTTAGCCAACAGTCATCTTCCCCATTCCCAGTTGGCAGACCTGAGTCACCACAATTCCACGGGATCGTTTTTTCAGCCTGGGGAAGAGAAGACCCAGGAGAATGTGAACACCGGTTTCTAATATCTGAAGAAGAGGGCTAAGCCTTTTTATCAGTATAATACCCAGCAGAACTTGGATAAATGAGAGGAAAATAACAGTGGTAGAGTTTTAATTAATGTAAAGAAGAGATTTCTAAAACAACCATATATCAGGTTTAGGAGCTTCCCGAAGGTCCTTGTCCATACTTGTGTGTCCATACTTATTTCCTTAGCACTGAGTAGAGGTCTTGGGCATAGCAAGTACCTAATAAAAGAGATGCCCACTAAATTTCTGAAGAAGCAGACACTTGGCAAACCAGAAAAATATAATGGGAATTGCCCTTTACCTAATCATTTATTCATTGATTCAAACAGTGTTTATTGAGCTCCTACTATGTGCCAGGCTTTCCTGGGCACTAAGGGTACAGCATTAAATAAAACTAATTTTCTGTTCTCATGGAGCTCACATTCTAGTGGAGACAGACAAGAAACATGTAATTACACATATACGCATACATATATACACTCATGCATTTTATGGATACATAACATATAGGTGATGGTAAGCGCCATGAAGAAAACAAAGAAGGAGGCCGGCCGAGTGGCTCAGTTGGGTAAGAGCTCGCTCAAGAGTTTGAGCTCTGAGCAACAGCGGTTCGAGTCCAGCCCGAGCTGAGCAGCCACTGAGCTGCCAACAGGTGGCAGGATGGCTCAGCTTAAAAAAAAAAAAATTGGAAAAAAAAAAGAAAACAAAGAAGGTTTGAGGCATAGGGCATGTCTAGCAAGGGAGACGGGGCTGCAATTTTGAGAGTGGTGAAGGCAGGCATCACCGAAAAAGTACTATTTGAGCCAAGGTGTAAAGAAGATGAGGTGATGGATGATGTGAGTACCTGTACAAAGAATGTTGTAAGCAGAGGAAATGGACTCAGGAGGGAGCATGCTTCGCATGTTCAAGGATGAGCGAGAAGGCCAGTGTAGCTGGGGAAGAACAGTAAGAGGGAGAGGAGAGTGGTAGGAGGTGAAAGTGAAGAGTGGTTGGAATCGAGGGGGGAGAGGTAGCCAGGGGCCGGATCACATATGGCATTACAGGCCTTGGTGAGTACTTAGCTTTGGTTGAATGTCAGAGAGACCAGGAGGTTTGGAGCAGAGATGAAATGACCTGAATTCTGTATGGGTGGCAGCTGGGAGCCTAGTGAAGAGGTGAGAAAAATACTGGCTTGGATCAGGAAGTAGAGGTGGAAGTAATGAAACGGGACTAGAAAATGAGACCAGGCTTGCACATAGCCTATTGATGGAACCAGACATCTTGGAAGCCACATTTTTTTTTAACCACTTGGAGAACATAGAATGAGAACTAAATAAGCTAGATGTTCTTCAGGGATAGTTCTCTAAATGTGATACCCAGAATGGTCGTCCTTCACTGTCTTAATACTGCCACATGCCTGGGTTCATGTCCCAGCTTACCCGTGTCTAGCTGTGTGACCTTGGGCAAGCTCCTTGAACGCCCTGAACCTTGGGCAAATAATGCCTGCCTCACAAGGTCATGGCAAAGGCCTGATGAGGTGTCTGAGATGCATAGAGCCTGGCGCACGTTAGTATCGTTGTTACCATCTTTGCCACAGAACTCATGTCGGAGACCCGTTTGTAGAATCTTCAGCCCGCATTCTCCTTTTTGTGGACTTGATAGTGACCCTCCAGCACATCCTCAGGGCAGGCAGGCCCTAGCAGCGTTCCTGTCGGCAGGAGCGCCATAGTGTTCCTTTGCCATGTTGGTACAAGCGCTGGTCTTAGAGTCAGGATCCCAGTTTTACTCTCAGTCTGCTCCGACTCACTATCTCACCTTGGCCAAGTCACCTCAGCCCCAGGCTGCAGGTTCCCCATCTGGAAGATGGAGGGTTGAAGTAGACAGTCTAGGAATCTGGGTTCTCACTGGCCTTGGGCGTGGGGCAGAGTCCACCGTTATGGCATATTTCACATTAGTTATGTTGTAGGGTGGCTCTTTCCTGTCAGCAGCTGCAGCACGTTAACTGCAAAAATTAAGCCCAGTATCAGTTTAGGATAGTTTATCATTGACCCCTCAATAATAATACTCCAATTTATGAAACACTTTACAGCTTAGAAAGCACTTTCTTTCTACCTTGCCTTTTTGATGCTCATAGCCACCTAGGGAGGTGCTGGAGGGAAATCAGGCCGAGAAAGATGAAGTGACTTGCCAAGGTGGCATCAGGAGGCCTAAGATGCAGGGTTTGGACTTTCAAATCTGAACTTGACCACTTATTTGCTGTGTGAACTTGAGCAAGTCTTAACTTGCAAATGGCTATAATAATAGTGCCTTGTTCTGAAGATTCAGTGAGTTCATGTCTTGAGACTCTCAGAATAGTGACTATCAGGATCAGCGACAAACAGCAGCCACATCCTAGGCTCCTTCAAGTCACATCATCTGATTTCCCGTTTATTACATATTGATTTTTTGCAAATAGTGTTTTTGCAGGAAAAAACTGCCTTTGGAACCTTCCGCTATTGGTTTCATCCTTGAGACTCTGAGGCCGAGCTAGAGCCTTACAGCTAGCTCCAAGCTACAGGGCTTCTTGGGCAGACTCCAGAGCTCCCCTCGGAACTAGAGGTTTTTCTCATTCAGGAAATGCCATTGCCATGACTTCCATGGACTGCTTCCTGTCCCAGCCCAGCAGCCTGATTCCTGCTGGCGAGATTATGGAAACTGGGAAGTAATGTTCCTAAAGGCTTTCCACCCCGCAGACTACTTTTTTTTTTACTGTGTCCCTCCCTTTCCTCTTGTCAGCTACTTTCTTTACTCCCTCCCCTTTCACCCTTCACCTAGCTTCTCTCTCCTGCCCCTGATTATCCCTTTAAGAGTTAGAAAGTGGGTTTCTACCTAATTCTGTCGGACCTTTTCCCCTACTCCACGCTACAGGTTTGGTTAGAACTCCTGGGTTTTCTGGATGGCTCCATCCACTCAGTAGCAGTTTCAGTCTTGGACTCCCCCTAGAGGGACATTAAGGTTGTCACTTGCAGTGCCTTGTGTCATCCATTAACCCTCAGTTCCCCAGGGGTCCCCACCCCACTCCCGCGCAGGATGGAGACTTCCTAAGAGAGATCTTAGAGGTTTGGCACATATAAATCCTGCCTCTTGGAGACTGACAGAGGGTAGAGTGAAATGGAGCCTGTCACCCCCTCCCCCCAGTCACCTTTCAGGAGGAAGCTAGAAGGTTGAAAATGTTGGACAATCATCTAAGGAATGGGAGCTAGCTTGGGAGGGGATTGGAACGCACTCAACTATGCCTCAGATCCTTTGTTCCGCTCTTGAAAGAGAAACATTCCCCTCCCTCCCCCCCCCCCCCACACACACGTGCCTTTGTTCCCCTGAGTCAGGCGGCTGGGAACACAGTGTCCCTTCCAAGGAGCCTGACTTGCCTCCCCAGAGGCTGGCCTCCTGATCAGCGGGACTGGGATTTTTGCTCAGGAGCCCCCAGCCTCATGTCCTTTCCATAGAAGAGTTTTCCTCTCAGAGGCTAAGAACTTGCCCCCAAACTGCTGCCCAGGAACTTCCAGGGAATTATTCCATGGGATGCCCGTGTCCCAGGATTAAACAGTCCCTCCCTTTTATTCCACATGGTGATTAATATTATTGTTAACATTACTATTAATAGCACCTAACATTTATCAAGTGCTTACTCTATGCCAAGCATTGTTCAAAGTGCTTTACATGTATTAATTTATTCCATTCGCATAGCAACACTCTGAGGTTGGTACTATTATTATCCCCATTTACAAATAAGGAAACTGAGGTACAGAGAGTTTAAGCAGCTTGTGCAAGGTGGTAGTAGGTTGGCAAAGCTTGGGAGGGTAGCTTCCAAGCTCCCACTTTTAAACACTGCACTGAGTCCTCCCCCACTGTACCAGTATCTAGATGATCACCTACATTCTTCCAGGGCTCACAGTGTGACAGGCCTTTTACCAACATCATCTCTGTGTCACTGTCCCAACAACCTCATCATTCGTGATAGGACAGATTTGGGAGGGCTCAGTTAGTAGGAGGCAGAGTTAGGATTTGAAACCAAGTCTGCCTTACTCCAAAGCCTGTGTTATCTCTGATCCTTGTTTGAAATCCTACAAGGTAGGTGGTATCTTCATTTTATGGTTGAGAAAACTGAGGCTCAGAGAACAGTGACATGCTCAGGGCCTCACAGGCTGGTACCAGGAAGACCTGGGATTCAAACTCGAGGTGTTTGACGTCACACTTTGCCACCTTAGTCGTCCATAGCATGATGATGATTGCTTTTATGTGCATGAAAACCTTTATAATTTACCAGACTCCTCCGCATACATCATTTCACAGTGATGTGGGCATGTTCAGCCCCATTTCAGGGAGGAAACTAAGGCCCGAAGCTTGTCCCACAGTAAATGGCCGAGTCAGATTTGGAAGAATTCGAGTTCTTGACTGTAAGTCATTGTTATCGGTGGATTGCTCAGGGCTGTCGTCAGAGTTTTGTTTCATTTGTTAAATCATCCAATACTGATGAATGCCGGATATGTGCTAAATACTGGGGAAACTGGATATTGCAGTGACCTCAGTGGTCCGTTTCTATGCCCCATATCTGGGGCCTGGCTAGTGTCCTTCTGCCATCTGAATCAGGCTGTTTGTGTGTCACCCATCCGTTCCCTTAGCTCCCAGACACGCCAGGCAAGGTTCATTCTAGTTAGCATGTATTGATCACCTTCAATACATCCATAGATAAAACTCTGGGCTGCAATTTGAAACTTAGCTTGATTTCTTACTGGCGTTGTAACACTAGGCAAATCAGCTTCAAATTCTCATTCATAAACCTGAGAAAATAATACCAACCTATCAGAGTAAGCGAGGCTTAAATGAGAAAGTGAAACACAGAAGTGTTTTTTAGTAATAATAACAGATACTCTGTGTTGTGTGGGCTCTGTGCCAGGTGCTATGTTTATGCCCTTGACATAATCATCTTGTTTGATCCTCAAAACTGCTCTGGTGTAAAGATGGAGAATGCAGAGCTTCAAGAGGCTCTATCACATGTCCACAGTAACACACCTTGTACATCTTGCCCTCAGGTATATCTGGTGCCAAAGCCCATCCTCAGGCTACTGTGTCATAGCTTCTTCGCAGGCCTGGACTGGCTTATTTCACTCTTGAGTACCTGGCACAGGGACTGGGGTTGGACAAGGGCTCAGCCAGGGTCTACTCAATGAACACGAAGGGTTGTAATTATTAGATGCAGCTTAGGCTGCAAAAACGTCTCTATCCGTAAGGAAGCAAACTCATATGAAGCAGTAGGAACAGACCCAAAACACTTGGGGAATGGCTCCAGGCAAACTGTGCCAAATCTGTGGTGTAGACTTCAGAAGTGGAAGAGGACTGAACCACTGGCTGCATCCCACAGATGCCCTGGACCTCTGCCAAGCCGGCCCGCTTCCACCATCAGCTACTCAATTGATGACTCGGCCCAGAGGCCTCCAACCTCAGCCTGTATTATCAGTGCGCACCCTCTCCCTCGCCAGCTGCATCACCAACCCAGACCCTCTTCTGTGCCAATACTAGAAGGTGTCAGGAAGGAGAGAGGCCACTAGAGGCTTGAATAATAGTTTTCTCAGCAGCATGGCTTTGTGTCATTCATACCGAGTCCTCAGTTTCCTCACCTGTAAAATGAAAATAATAGTCATCCCTCAATGAAGATAAGAGCAGTAATTTCTTTCTGGTAGGCTCGCTGTGTTTCTTCTGCCTGGATCACTCTTCCCCTAGATCTGATCAGGGCTGTCTTCTTATCATTTAGGTCTCAACTCAAATATCACCTTTGCCAGAGGCCACTCATGTTTACATGCTCACTCTCCATCTCCTCCAGGAAAAACTAAACTCCAGAGTGTAGGGGCTTTAACTCATAGGAGACACTGAGCAAATATTTGTTGAATGAGGAGGAATGAGTGAGTGATTTTGTAGCCCACCTAGCACAGTTCCTGACACACAGTATACTCAGTCAATGTTAGACATCATTATTACCTCTTAGGAAGATATGAGCCATAAAGGCTTTCCAGTAGGTAAAGAGAGTGTGGCAAGGGTGGGCTCGGCAGGTAAGAACCACCCAGACGGATCTGGAGGGTGGAATGTGTCTGAAACATTTGGGAGACAGTAGTGGGTAGTCTGGCTGAAGAGGGTGGTCAGTAAAGCCAGTTATGGAAAAGGGAGCATGACTGATGGCGGAGGCCTCTAGGCAGAGGGACGGGGATGGTTGACAGTAGAGGTGGGCCCAATGGGGAGAGGCCCAAAACCAGAGGGATGCAGCCAGGTCTCCAGTAACCCCTAGGAAAGAGAATCCCTTGCCAGCTGTGGCTCAGCAGACAGAGCAGCAGGGAGATAAAAGCCAGAAGCACCTGTGACCTGCAGATCAGGTAGGCTGCCCTGGTTGTTATTTTGGGGCTCTGGGCCAGGTGCGGATTCAAAGGCTTGATTGAAGCCTTTTGGCAACTCTGGTCTCTGCTGGGTAAACATCACCTGTCTCCTGCCACCTGTGGCAACAATGCCAGGAAGGTACCCTGGGCAGGCAGGCCCAAAGGGGCCCAGCTTTCTTGCTGCCCTTCTGGAGCAAGTGGCCTCTCCTGGAGGCCACTCCTTCCCTGCCCCACAGCTCCCTTCTCAAGGGCTCAGGTGGCAATAAGGTGCCTCCTGCCCAAGAGGCCCCCATGGTTCCGGCCCATGGAAGGCAGGGGTGGGGCATTGGGAGCCGTTGACAGCTGGGCCCAGCTGGGGGGGAGGGGTCAGTTTGGGAGCAGGTGCAGATTTCGGGGAGGGTGGGGCCTGAAGGGAAGTAGGGATCTTGGTAGGCTGTAAAATTTCCCTCCCCATCCCCCAGCCACAGCTGGCTTCTCCAGGAACCTGATGACCTAGTTACAATGCTTAGAAATTGTTAGCTTCGTTTGCAGTTCAGGGCTGTGCCAATCATCCCTCTTGGAGGCTTCTTGGGTCCAAAAGTTGCCCTCACATTCCCCCAAGGGGGGTCCATGTGAAGGAGACACACCATATCACATGTCCAGGCTTCTTGCCCAGGAGAGTAAAGAACCAATCAGGCTCTTCCCGTGTGCCCCCCACCTCCCATCCCAGGGAGGAAAGACTCCCCTTGTCCCCGCCATCTTCTGTCTCTCTGGGGGGTTAGTAGGTGGCAAATGGAGGTCACAAACTTCTTCCTTAGAGGCTCAGCAGAGAGGGAATGACTCCTATTGCCCCAGGGATAGCTTAAGCATACATAACTATTCCCACCTTCCCTTCCCGTCTCACTCTGATGTTCAGACCTGTTGGAAGGGAGTGAGGAAGAATCTGTTGGGGGCTCTGGAGGCTCCAACCCTCCAGGCAGCAGCTGTTCCTGGTATTCCTGATGTCTACCTCTCCAGTGCCTCCCTGGGAGAAATTCCATCACTGTTCAAGTCAGGTACAAAATTTGACAAACCAGTGCTGAATCCTGCTTGCTCTCTAGCTATCCTTGGGCAGATTACTTAATCACCCCCAGCCTTAGTTTCTCATCTAGAAAAAAGGGGATAATAATACATAATGCTTTTTTTCAAAGACTCTTATAAGCATGAAAATAAGTGGTAAGATACATGAAGCATTTAGCATGGAGCCTGGCATATAGTAATTACTACTCAGTATGACAGCTACTATTACTGCCATTATCAGATTGCCTTCACAGGTGATCAAGTCGCTGTGCTCACTATTGGAGCGACTCTTCAAGAGCTAACTTTTAGGCTGACAGAGTATGTGGATATCTTTTGAACCAAGAGCTTGGAGATTTTAAGATTCCTGAAGCTGGGGACTGTGGCTCATAACCTTGACACCCACCTCGTCTACAAGGGTCCCAAACTCGTGCTTTGTGCACAGTAGGGGCTGGCCAGTGTTGCAGACTGGGCATTTGACAATGGGGCATATTTTCTTCAAGTTTTGCAAGTGCCTCCAAGAAACAAGGACCTTCTCCCCTGCTTTATTCACTGCTATATCCATCCCTAGATCCTGCCACAGGAACTGGAACATAGAAGGCGCCCAGTCATTTGTTGACTGAGTGGAAGACTTAATGAGTTGAATATTTAAAATGTGTAGGAGCATGCCTAGCACATGGTAGGTGCCTGGCATGTCTTTGAATGATTAAACAAAGTACTGTGGGGACACGAGTTTTTCCAGGATGGCCCCACTCCTTGTTTACTGCGTGGCCATAAGCCTTTTACCCAAGCTCTGCCTGTTGCCTCATCTGTTGAAGAAAGATAACACCCGCTTTGCCTCCCTCGTGGGCTAGCTGTGAGGCCCAAGGAGATGATAGATGAAAAGGCACTTTGAAAACTATAAATGTTTGATCTTGTTGCTGCTCCTTGACTGAGGTCACAGCCATAGATAGACGTGTCATTTATTCATTCATTCATTCAACCAACAAGCAGTATCCTAGCTCTCTCACTTATCTGACTTCATGAATTTGGACAAGTTACTTTACGTCTCTAAGCTTGGGCATCTATAAAGTGTAAATAATACTCATTTCACAGGATTGTTGGAAGAAAGACTAAGCAAGGTGCTCTGAGCTTATCGAGGGTGGAAACTATGTTTCGTGCACTGTTATCAGCTATCATTAGGCCATTCGTAACAAACATTCATAGCGATGAATGGTGTATGTAAAGTGCCCTGCACAGTGCCTGATGTGTAGAGTAAAAGCTCACCAAAGGTTTTTCCTTTTCCTCTCACTGTGAAGTTTGGTCATTCATTAATTCAGCCATCGGTTGTCTTCTGCAGTCATACTACCAGGCAAGGCTAAGGCTAGGCTTCTGAGTGTGATTCAGATGGGAAGTGGAAATGAGTATCAACTCCTAACCCCAGGATGTCCTCGCCCACCTAGGCTGGACTGCTGAGTGGGAACTCTGACCAGCTAAGATTACTGCTGCTTTACCATAAAACTGAGGCACCGCGGGCCTCACCCCACGCTTACCTCTGATTCAGAACAAGAACACTCACCCCTTGTTCTGCCCGCTCTCTGTCTACTACTCAGCAAGAAAATTTTTCCTTTGCGCACAGCACCTACATTCATGTGTGGAACCCTGGGGGTTACCATATCAAGAAAGTCCCCAGGGAGTCACTCAGGAATGGCCCTTTGGGGCACGGTCCTGGGAGGGGTCCAAGTCTAAGGCTCAGGGTCTCCTGGGACTGAGTCTAGCAGCAGGTGCAGGCATGAGGCCCCAGGCTGGTGGCTAAGTGGTGAAACTGAGAGGTGCATAGGGCCAGACAAGAAGTCAACGCCGAGGAAACGGCCCGCCTGTGCACGCAGGTGTCTGGGCACCTGCGGTCAGTTTCTGGGTCTGATTTATTTGGTTGTGGTTACAAATTAGTACCCCAAGCCTCGATGAGGAGAACCCGTGGAACTCCAGAGCAAAGCCTGCACCCGAGCAGTACCTTTGAACCCTTCTCAGACTCCAGCAGGGTGAAAGAGGCCCTTCCTTTGGGCCCTACAGCACCTACTACTGGAAGGTCTCCAGGGTCAATGGAATACTAACCACAGCTCCCTTTATGGGGCCCCTGATGTGTGTTGGGCACCGTGCTGGAAGCTTTTTAAGAGGATGGGATCATTTCATTACTGGAAGTATGGGCTCTGGAGTCAGACAGCTGAGTTTGAATCTGAGCTCCGTCATGTACTGGTTGTTTGATTATGGCGCATTCTTCTCCCTTTCTGGAAAATGGAGATGATAATACCTGCCTATAGGGTTTCTGTAAGGATGAAATGAGAGCATATATGTCAGGCTTAGCACAGATGTTATAGTAACTTTAATAATAGCTAACGTTTATTGAACACTTATACTTAAGTGTTTCATATGTGTTAATTCAGTGGATTCTCAAAACAGTGCCATTGAGATAGGTACTCTTACTATTCTCACTTTAGAGAGGAGAAAAATGAGGCATTAGGAAGTTAAGGAATTTGTCCAGAGATACACAGGTAGTAAGCAGTGAAGTCATGATTTGAACCTAGGCAGGTTCCAAAGCCCATGTGTCCTACCTCAGGATGAAGAGGGCCTTGTAAATGTTGCTGCTGGTACTCTTGTATCCAGCATCGTAGTTGTCTGTGGTTTTTGGCCTGGCTGCCGAATTCTGAGCTCAGCGAAGGCAAGAAACCCATCTTAATCACCTTGCATCCCCAGAGACCAACATAGTACTCATAGTACTCATTAATATTTGCTTAATGGCTGAAATAGTCCCTCTCTTCATTAATCAATCAGTAGCTCTTTATCGACCATTTCCTGTAGGCTAGATTTGAGCTAAATCCTGGGAGGAATGCAAAGTACAACTGTGCCTCTGTAAACGGAAGATTGGGTGTGTGTGGTGGTAGGGGGGGAGCATTCCAGAGCACTGTGTCATGGGCAGAAACTTCCACACAGGAGGCAGAGACTATACAGGTGGCTTAGGAATGTTTTCCAAGCTAGGATTCCCACCCCTCCCTGATTGGGCCACTCCCTCCATCTCCTGCAGAACAGTGACATAGTTTCCCCAATCTTGCCCAGGGCAGACACCAAGCCTTCTCTCTGCTTCCTCTCTGGTGAGGAGGATGCGTCACCTTTCTTGCTCAGGCATCTAGTTCATGGAAGCCTAGAATGACGGAAAACGTCAGAAGTTTGGAGCTGGGAAAGGACCTTTAAAAATCACTTCTGCCCCAACACTGCAGCCAGAGTAATCTTTTAAAAACTGAATTCAGAACTTATCACATTCTTACTTATGACCCTCCACCCACTTTTAAGAAAACCCAGAGTCCTTACCAAGACCTCTCAGGCCTGCTTGATCTGGTACTAGCAGCCTCTTCATCCTCTATCCCTCCATCCCTCCCTGTCTGCACTCAGGCCACAGAGACTCCTGCTGTTCTGTTCCTGCTTCCTGGCACACTTGTCCCTGCCTGAGGGCCTTTGTAGTTGCTCTTCCCTCTGCCTGGAATGCTCTGCCCCTGGTGTTTGCCTTGCCAATTCTTTCAGTTGACTCAGCTCACAGGTCGCCTCCTCTGAGAGGTTCTCTTTGACCTTTGGTCTGAAGTAGCTGAGCTACTTGTATAAATCACTCTCTAATCTTTTACCTTCTTGTATTTTTGTCGTAGCACAGACCTCTATCTGAAAGTTTCTTTCTGTTTGTTTACTTGGGTTTTTGTTTTTCTTTTTTTTTGGCTGTCTCTTCTACTAGAATATATGCCCCATGATTATAAGGACTTTGGTTTGTTCACCATTTTATCTCTAGTGCCTAGAACTGTTCCTTGCAGGTAGTAAACATTCAGTGAATGATTTCAGAATGAATGATTGAACAAATGAACAAACCTAAGGCATTGTTTTCATTGCATACATGAAAAAACTGAGGCCCAGAGAAGAGACGCTAATAATTGAGAGTGTTCTTTCAGACCTTACCTTTTGAATGCTCACTAAGTGCCAAGCACTGTACTCAATGATTTACACCCATTTTTTTGCCACCTATCTTTAATTGTTACAGAGTTGTTTGGTAAATCTTTTTTTTTTTTCATCATCGTAGCATATTAGAGAAAACTGGACCAACTGTTATTTTTTATTGTAACCTCACTCTGTTTTACAAAGAGTTGAAAGCAGTTTAGGAAAATTCATAGAACCAAAAGGATAAAATACCTAGGAGAGTCAGGTGAAAAGAGAGTGTGGGAAAGAAGACAAGAACCAGAACTAAGATTAGTTCACAGAAATAGATGCCATACAATTCCCTTTGAACTGAGCCAAGTTTTTGTATCATTCGTTATGATGGATAAGTAAATGATGCCCAGATTCTTAAGAGTGATGTTTTTCAAAAATCCCGTCACACATATGACCTTGGGATTGTCCTAGACTGCATGTGATAGTTTCAGATTTGTTGGCTCCCTCACGGCCTCATAGCTGGGCTCCTGGATCACCATCTCCTCTTCCTCCTCGTTTACCGAAGGGGCCAGTCCAGCAGGGAGGCCCTGACCCTTTCCTCAACCCTCTGTGACCCAGCCAACTTTATTTCAAGGAGAGCCTTTTTCCCAGAAGAGTCAATGGTGAGTATCATCATTGGAGACCCATTTCTGCTCTCAAGACACTTCCAGTTGAATTAGAAAGAAAAGACATAATGCGCATGAAAAGAGATTTTGTAAAAGCAACCCTAAATGCCAAATAAGTGAAGCACTTCACAGAAGGGGTGAAATTTATGCTGGGACTTACCACAGACAGGGAAAACGGGCCGGTGCTCCAAGCAGGGGGCCCATGTGAGCTGAGATGTGCAGGCTGGGATGGACTCTCACGAGCCCCATAAGCAGTGGCAGGCCAGGGTGGAGTATTTGTGGAAGGGTCTCTCTTACTAGATGATAAAGCCAGAAAGGTCAGCTGGAGCCAGATTTGTGGGAGTCTCGAGTGCCAGGGAAACATTCCAAGGCCCTGCTCGGCAGCCCTGGTATCCCAGTAGATGAGTCATTGCCAGGCTCGGATGCCCATCCTGGCCGCCTGTCGGTCCACTGATTCTCAGGTAGCTGTGCCAACACCTAAAATGGGAGCCAGGACCTTGAACTGCCAGTGAGCAGAGGAGTAAGTGTGGGGCCACTGTTGGTTTAGCCTTTGGTCATCCCAAGTGCATTCATTCATTTCTTTGGTGATTCCACAGATGTTTATTGAGCACCAACTACGGATGGCCCTTGAACAACTTGGAGGTGGGGAGGCGACTCGGGGTGCCAAACCCTCCCCACACCCCCAAACAGTTGAAAATCTGAGCATAACTTAAGCCTCCACATACATGGATTCCCAACTGCTGGTAGAAAATACTGCGTGCCGGGTCCTGTGCTATGTGCTGGGGGTGCCGTGATGTACAAGACAGTCAAGGACACTGCTCTCATAGAACTCTGATGTTAGTGTGGGAGACAGGTAGCCTGAGAAACAAACAAATAAGATGATCTCAGATAGAGGGTTAAATGATGTAAAGAAAATGAAACTGAGTGATGGAGTGTCTCGGGAAGCAACTTTATACAGGGAGGTCAAGGAAAGCCTCTCTGGGGAGGTGACATTTGACCTGAGAGTAGATTAAGGAGAAAGCCAGCCTGGGAAGATCTGAAGCAAAGATTTTACAAACAGCTAAGCAAGGCAGGATTGAACTTGGTTGGTCTGAGCTTTGGGCCCACACAGATAACTCAGCTCTGACATTGGTGGGCCCAGTCTGAGCCTTGGTTTCCCTTTGTGTTATGGATGGAGATGATCTTTCATACTCACAGAGATCCAAAGGGAATATTAATGGTGACTACCATTTATTGAGCACCTACGCCATGTCAGGCACTCTCCATGCATTGTCTCATTTAATTCTCACAGCCGGCCTATGTGGTAAATGGTCTGTTAACCCCGGTGTCTTTCCCATTGAGGAAACTGAGGTTTGGAGAGATGACATTCCATGCCCAGGGTCCTGCGGTTTGTACCTGGTGGAACCTGGATTCAGACCCAGATTGGTCTGGCTCCAAAGCCAGGTTTCTTTCCATAGCTCCACCCTTGGAATAAATGAGGCATTGTTAGTTCAGGACACGCAGAAAGCTGCTTAGCCTTCTAAAGGAAAGTTTCGGAAGCATCTTGGAATGAGCCTTGAAGGTCATCTACCATCCTCCCAACTGAGAGAACTCGTTGCTCATCTGAAGGACGATGCCCGGGGTTACTGCTGGCCTTTGGCAAAGGCATGTTCGGATTTAGCCAGCTGAGTATCCCCCAGTTTCCTGCTTTTACCATCTCAGCTGCTGGTCAGGAGGTTTGGGAAGGTGACATCATCTAGCTGAATCAGCTGCTGCTTCTAGACACATTAACGGGAACTGAAAGTCATTGCCCTTGCTTTCCCACTCTGCACATCTCTCCAGAACAGGGCTGGGGTGCGGGTATTCCACCTGTCCACAGGGTCTTGGCTGGAACCGTCCTCCCGCTTTTAAAGAGTTAGAAGGTGCATTTTTTTGGAGAAAACTGTCCTCAAGCCTTCTCAAGCTGAGGGAACAGAGTGCCCTTGAGGGATAGGAGGATTCACAGGAGGGCCACCCCCATCCCTCTCTTCCACCTTCATTTAGCCCCGTGACTTTGACGAGAACTCCTGACCGTTCTGATCTCATTTGCCTAAGTTCAAGGCTCAGGCCCAGCAAAACAAAATGTTATTTGTGGACTTAGACATTAAGGCATTTAGAGTCTGTTCAAGAGGACAAAAAGACAGCTTAGATTTCAGAGCAGAGCTGCCACCACACTATGATCTCTGGGATATACTCCTTGACCCAGTGACCAAAAAGGAAAAAAATAAGTAAAATACTTTTATTTTTTTAATCAAAAGAAAAAGAAAGTAATGAAAAGGTGGCTTGGTGAGGTGAGTAGGACAACAGACAGCTTCCTTGCTCTGTGACTTTGCTTTACTTTTTTCACGTGTAAAATGGATGTCACCAGGGTATGTGGCTCCTTGGGCCTTTGGAATAGTACACAACATATAAAGCCTTCAGCAGTGTACCCAGCCGCCGGGGCATGCTCAGTGAATGGTAGCCCTGTAGATAGGTTCTCAAAAGAGAGACAGGCCTGTGGGGAGCGTCTGGGAAGGCTTCCTGGAAAAGATGGACTTGGAACTGGACTTAGGAGCCTAGGTAGGCTGTGGATGAACACTGGCTGGAAGCAGGCTGTTCAAGTGGGAAGCGGACAGACTTTGGATGCTGACACTCTACTGTGTAATCCTTGACAGGTGACTTTACCTCTCAGAGCCTCAGTTTTCTTCTCTGTAAAATGTGGGTACTGTTGAACCCACCTCACAGAACTGTTGAGGAGATTAGCAAGGTGCTATATTTATAATGGAAACCGCTGTGTTAAGTCCCCAGTGTGTGCTGTCGATGTTTCTTATTTGGCGGGGGTACTCACCTGATAAAAAGGCTGGAAGGGAGATGTGAGATGGCACAGCTATTGCTCATTCCCTGTCTCACCTGGACAGCTCTACCAGCCGTCCTCCCTCTTCTCTGTCCTTGCTCACCTTGAATCTCTTACCCACATAGCAACCAGGGATCCTTCTGAAATAGAAGTCAGAGCCTGTCATTCTTCAGTTCAAAACTCACCGCTGACTCTTTATTCATGAGAATAAAAGTCAAAGTGTATACAGTGCAGGGACAGATGGAGGACAGTCCCCTAGAAATAAGTGCCCTAGGCTCATTTCTTCTCAGAAGCAGCCCTGCTCCAGCTCCTGTGTCCTTGTGTATGTGCATGTACGCAGCCACAAGCAGATGACACAGTGGTGATGTATACACGTACACCCAGAACATTTCATAATAGTGAAGGACAATGACTACTGCCTTGGGGCTACCAGAGGTCATCAGGGACATAGAACGCCAAGAACACTCAGGCCTCTTCCCCTCTGAATCTGAGTCATTTCCTGTGAGAGGTTGCTCATTCATTCATTACAAATATTTGTTGAGTGCCTGCCATGTCTTAGCACCGGAGCTATAGGTTGTGCATATAGAGTGAACCAAACCAAAGTCCCTGTTTCCACTATGTGAGCAAGGGCGGGAGGAAGAGACCAGTAAGAAGCTGGGCAGGTGATGATGGTGGTTTGTACCAGGGTGGAGGCGTGGCAGAAGTGGTGAGCAGCGGTCAGAGCTTCAATATAATTTGAAGATCAGGCCATCTGGATTTGCTGATGATTGGATAAGGGGTGTGAGAGAAAAAGGCATTCCAGGTTTTTTGGCCTGAGCAGCTGGAAGGAGCTTGTTGCCATTTAATGAGAAGGGGAAGACATCTTGGCCAGTTGTGGTTTCCTACGAGGGCAGTAGAGTCCGACTGCCTGAATTCAAGACCAAGTTTGCTTGCTGTTTGACTTTGGGTAAGGGTTTAACTTTACTAAGCCTCAGTTTCCTCAAATGTAAATCTATCTAAGCCATGGGCAGTTGGGTGCTGTGAAAACTAAATGGGGTAATTTGTGTGATGAAGGGCTTGGGATAGTGCCTGGCATACAGTAAGGTCTCAGTAAGAAAACGTTAGCTCTGATCATTGTGGAAGCAGGGAATTCCATGACCAAGCAGGCAGCAGGTCCCACCCCCACCTCCACCACTCCCTCAAGGAGCCCACCCTCCAGGAGGCAGCTCAGACACCATCTGTCCAGCAGAGAAAAGCCACAGGGAGACAGCTTTTGGGGGGCGTTAGATAGACGAGCCCTTCCCAGGAAACCTAATCTCATTCTCAGCAGGTGCTAATCCCAGCAGCCTCCCTTGGTATCTGAGCCCAGCCCACCCAGTTCCTTCCCCACCCCCACCCTGAGTTCCAGCCCCTCTTCCCCTTCTCACCAGCTCCAAGCTGCCACCAGGACACTTCCTTACCAGATGGAGGGGCTCCTACAGAAGGAGGCCACCTTCCATCTGACTGGGCCCAGTCCCTCACATGTATCAGGTCACCAAGGGCTTCAGGTGCCACCTGTCCAGAGCCCCCCCCCACACACACACACACACACAGGTGCCAGTTACTGGGCGTGGAGCTTGATCCAGCAGATCCTGGCTGGAGCCAGCTGGAGCCAGGGACTCCCACTGTGCCCCAGCTGCCGCCTGCCCTCCCACCCACAGGCGGAGAACAGGCTTAACCCTTTGAACACCACACATGCGACCAGAATTAGTGGTTGTAACTCCGACTCTTGAGTATTGCACTGTTCCAGCACACGTTTTTCTCTTTTAAAGAAATTCATCATAAAGAGAGAATATCTAATACATATGTAAAGTTTCAAAAATAGGAAAATGATCGCCTGTAAACAAACTCATTGCCCAGTTTAAGAAGTCAAACATTTATGAATACATTAGAGCCCCCTGTGTGCCCCTCTCCAAGCATGGCCACCCCCTACCCATTCTCCTGAGATGCTATTCGAGCTTATTATTCCCTTGCCATTTTGCTACATATGTGTTCTTTTGCATGCTTTTAAATTTCATTTAAATATTGTACTGCATGTATTCATCTGCAGTTTGCTCTTTTCATTCAGAATTGTGAGATCCATTGATGTTCTGTGTACACCTGTAGTTCATTCATTTTCATATCCGTTTGTATGATTATGTCTCAAGTTGTGTATCCATTCTACTGTCAGTGGTTATTTGGGTTGTTCCCTTGTTTTCACTATTTCAAACAGTGTGGTTTAGAACATTCTGTGTGTGTGTCTCCTGCGACTGCACATGTTCAAGAGTTAGTCTCTCTGAAGACGTTAGCTGCCCATCAGAATTACCCGGAGGGTTTGTTAAACCAGTTTGCTGGGCTCCACCCCCATAGTGTTTGATTCTGTATGTCTGG